GCCAGTACCAAAATATACTAATAGGGTTTTTCCCCTTTTTTCTGGCAACAAAACTGACACCTTTTGCAAGGAATCATGCTTACATTAACCACAATACCTGCAGTCAAATGCAAACAAAAAACAATACTCTGATAATTTATGCATTGTCTTTAATTTATGCATTGTCTTTGAAACTGAAAAGGTGTCAGTTTTGATGCCAGAAAAAAGGGGAAAAAACCCTATTAGTATATTTTGGTACTGGCAAAGGAGATCCCATGATGTAGCTGCTCACCCCGAGCTCTCATTACTCTGGTATTGCGTTGTCTTTGAACTGTGCGCCTTTTGGCGTCATCTGGTCGAACACCATATGAGACTAGGCTCCAAAGAAAGCTGTCTCTGGTGCGGACCAATCAGTTTCAAAGACAATGCATAAATTATCAGAGTATTGTTTTTTTTGCATTTGACTGCAGGTATTGTGGTTAATGTAAGCATGATTCCTTGCAAAAGGTGTCAGTTTTGTTGCCAGAAAAAAAAAGGGGAAAAACCCTATTAGTATATTTTGGTACTGGCAAAGGAGATCCCATGATGTAGCTGCTCACCCCGAGCTCTCATTACTCTGGTATTGCGTTGTCTTTGAACTGTGCGCCTTTTGGCGTCATCTGGTCGAACACCATATGAGACTAGGCTCCAAAGAAAGCTGTCTCTGGTGCGGACCAATCCGTTTCAAAGACAATGCATAAATGATCAGAGTATTGTTTTTTGTTTGCATTTGACTGCAGGTATTGTGGTTAATGTAAGCATGATTCCTTGCAAAAGGTGTCAGTTTTGTTGCCAGAAAAAAGGGGAAAAACCCTATTAGTATATTTTGGTACTGGCAAAGGAGATCCCATGATGTAGCTGCTCACCCCGAGCTCTCATTACTCTGGTATTGCGTTGTCTTTGAACTGTGCGCCTTTTGGCGTCATCTGGTCGAACACCATATGAGACTAGGCTCCAAAGAAAGCTGTCTCTGGTGCGGACCAATCAGTTTCAAAGACAATGCATAAATTATCAGAGTATTGTTTCTTTTTGTTTGCATTTGACTGCAGGTATTGTGGTTAATGTAAGCATGATTCCTTGCAAAAGGTGTCAGTTTTGTTGCCAGAAAAAAGGGGAAAAACCCTATTAGTATATTTTGGTACTGGCAAAGGAGATCCCATGATGAACTGAATGTTTTTACTTTTATTTGTTTTGATGCTGTTTTTCGTATGTTGTCATTTTGAAACCGAGGTCTTGCTTAATAAAAAAATATTTGTGTAGTCTCAAAGTGTTCTCAAGTGGCTTAAATAAAAAAAAACATGATGTAAAAATGGAACAACAATAAAATGTAGATCATAAGAATGACGAACACCAGAAAGTTTTTGCACCATTTTTTTAAATAAAAAAAGACAATAATCACCATGACGACGTGTCTATCATCTGCTGGATGAAGGCTTCCCATAATCACATCATAACGAAACGTTGATTATTGTTAAATAAAAAATCAATGTATTTTTTTAAGATGTAAAATATAACCCATCTGAATGAGGTACGTAATTTAACATTTTTTTCCGTTTTGGTCGAATCCGTTAAGCTTTATTTAATTTAATGTAACTTCTATTTACTTACATAGAAAATGTTTAGGAAGCTATATTGGATAAATACATTAAAAGTGAAACTTTAATCTCATTCATTACCAGGAATATGCATGCATACGTTGCCATGTTCCCTCCTTTCACTGCGATGCCACCTTGTTAACGCAATCGTTAAATCGTTTTTAAAAATAGCTAAAGCAATGTCGAAACTGAACTCTTAGTAAACCTTGTTAATTAGGCAATGTTAATCGTGGTTGTAGTGTCTTGGTTGTCATTATACCTAGAGGAATACCTTCCATAAGAAGGTGGAATTCCCACAAATGGCTTGTTTTGGAATTGGAGACAGACTTTTGACTTGGAACCATGCCACGTTTTAGAGACACATAAACCACCTCAGCACACCCACCTGCTGTTGAGAATCGACTCGCCTGCCAAAGAATCGCATTACTCGATTACCATAAGACGTAATCGGATTGCTAATGCACCACACATGTCCTTATACAGTACTCCAAATGTTGGCAGTTTTTTTACAAACTTTACAATCGAATACCCGAGAACGTGGTGATAAATTATGGGCTGTTGCCTTTATAACTACCATCCACAAAATCTTAGACATTCCACAGCACAAATGCATTGTACAGAGAGAAATAAGTATAACCCGTAAAAACAAAGTTTTTCACTATAAATCCTTTATATGCGTGGCAGCGAACTTAATAGAAAGGATTTACAAATATATTCGCCTGTGGAGGACGCGGGGATCGATCCCGCGACCTTTGGCATGGGAAGCGAGGGCGCTACCAACTGCGCTACTCCGCCACGGCCTGTGGAGGGGTTACGCTCTTGGCTATTACACTCTGACGTTCAGCCAAAGCCATGAATGAGTTCTATTTGAATATATGTAAAATATTTTTTTTTTGCCTAAAAAGTGTAAAATTTTGGGAATTTTTTTCACGAACATTAATTGTCTGGCACAACGAGTTTGTGTGGAAAATGTCAGCTCGATTGGATCACGGGAAGTGGGTTAAAAAACGACCGAAAGATTTGCACGGTCGTAAGCAAGCAAGCAAGCACGCAAGCAAGCAAGCAAGCGAACTAAATATAAAGGATTAAAAAAAAAAACTCATGGCCCTTATTCCATATTAATGCACCAAACACTTTCGCTAAAGAATGGAATTCCTTAACGAAACGTATTTTGGTTATTCTCCCATCTAATTCATAATATCAGCACCTCTGATTATCACGGTTGGCTTCGTACGGTGTGAAAGAAGTTCAACATACTGTACATATATTTAATGCAAAGCTGTCGATTTTCTTTCATACTTGAACTTGCATCTGATATACTGTATACAGGAAATATCTCCTTGTTTGTTGACATGTTCTTATAGTCAACCTATATCTGTTTAATGTTTCTGTATAGCTTAGTTTTGTCATCTGTGCTGTGACCGATCTGGGAGCCAGAGCCAATTTGCCCTGCAGGGAATATTTTACTTCTATTTAATATTGCTTTATGTTTGTGCAATATGTTCCATTCCTTTTGAGATACAATGTTTTTTTCGGATTGCTATTTTACTTCATTGCTGGCGAGATGTTAAACACTTTGCCTGATATACAGGAGGTCGTGGGTTCGACCCCGAACCTGACGCCTGTATATTTGGAGTTTGCATGTTCTCCCCGTGGTTGCGTGGAGTTTTCTCTGGTTTTTCCATCCACATTTAAAAACATGCGTTTAGAGTTTTTTGGTTGCTATAAATTGCCACATGATAAGCCACGTCGTTGAGCTATTATTTGTAGCCAAGTCGCTTCTGAAAAAAGCTATACTGTATAGCTCAGTGGGCCTTACCTGGTAAAATTAAAAGTTTCGTTTTGTTACTTTATTTAATTTGGGTGACCCAGGTCACTCTCGTAAATGAGGCTATCCTGGTCTCTTGAGCTATTACCTGGTTAAACAAAATAAACTTCAAACTTGAGCCAGACAACCCAACAGCATTTAACTGGCCAGATCCTGCTGATGAGACTCAGATAACTCAAAACCGGTCCTGAGTGTTCCTACTTCAACAAATACTGCTCGTTTGTCAATCCACTGCTGGATGCGGGCCTGTCCATTCTCATCAGGCCACATGGTGGAAAGTGCAGTCTCCAACTCTTATCTTATCCACCACCTCTTATGTTACGAAGAAGGACCATTGTCCAAAATGTCGCTTATTATATACAGTAATTTATTATTTGAAGGTCAGTGTCATTAACGAATGCGTTGAGTATATTCTTGCTTTATTAAAACTAGCAACGTGCATGTTACTAGGATGTGACCGTCAGCTCTCTCCCTCCCTCCAGCCAGCAAACCTTTATTTTATAACATAGTGTGATTTGATTTTTTGCATTAGGAGCTGTAGTCACAACAGTTACATTAATCTGAATATCATACCAGAACTCATACAAACCACGATTAACAAACATATATTTAAAATATTTGTTTTGTTCAAAATGCTATTTTACTTCACTGTTGGCAAGATGTTAAATGCCTCGCCTGGTATGCAGAAGGTCGTGGGTTCGATCCCGACCCTGACGCCTGTGTATATATATTAATATATAATTATATTTTATTACTACGTTGGTAGTACACTACTAACAAAAATATTGTTCAAACGAACAGCACCTGTCAACCCCTTATAAACTAGAATCAAATCAACGATTATACCACGTTTGCATACCGGTCATCCCGTTATCAGTGCCCTACCTTATTCAGACCTTATTGGTCACCCCGTGCCCTTATAAATGTCAATGTTCATCTTACAAAGTCCCATCCACATGAGAGAAATACACATTTTTAGTTTTTTCCCCGAATTGAAACGGCTGCACGCCGCGTGGACTTAAAAACTAAATTTCCCTGTGCAAGAATACGGGTAACCCGTATGGGTTGACAGGTATGTGTATAGTAGTGTAGTGTATAGCAGAGGTGTGGACTCGAGTCATGTGACTTGGACTCGAGTCAGACTCGAGTCATGAATTTGATGACTTGAGACTCGACTTGGACTTGCATAACAATGACTTTGTCCCACCTCTGAGGTGTGGACTCGAGTCATGTGACTTGGACTCGAGTCAGACTCGAGTCATGAATTTGATGACTTGAGACTCGACTTGGACTTGCATAACAATGACTTTGTCCCACCTCTGGTGTATAGTGTAGTGTACAGCAGTGTGGTGTATAGTAGTGTAGTTTATAGTGGTTTATTGTAACAAACAGACGAATTTTTGGTTTTGCCCGTATTGAAACGGCTGCACGCCGTGTGAACCTAAAAACTAAATTCCCCCGCACAAAAATAGGAGGTATAATAAAAAAAAATCCGATGGAGGTTTAACAAGCACATGCGTTCCTATCCACTCAGCGTGCCGCGGTGACCTTTGACCTCGAGGAGGGGGAGGGGCTGCGGTGGAGGTTGTTACCCTGCCAACATGGCGGCGCCCATGAAGAGCGGCGTGGGTGGCGGCGTCCCCGCCGCGACTGGCGTAGCCGAGGCCGGCGAGGACTACGTGCAGTACAGCCTCCTGCTGCGACACCTCGTCGGCGACAAGCGGCAGCCCAGGGAGATATCCCCCACGGTGTACGGCGGCTTCCCCGCGGCGTCCAAGAGCGAGCAGCAGAAGATGATCGAGGCGGCGATGGAGAGCTGCACCTTCAAGGCCGCGCTCGCTTGCGTTGCAGGTGTGCGGGGGGAGGGTGGAGGAGGCTCGTGAAGGACGCTGCTGCGTCTAGCAGCAACAACGGATGGCAGAGGAGGGACGCTCACAACAACGAGCGGAACGCCGGGCGGATAAAGTGCAGCAATATGGCACAGTGGGGGGGGGGGGGGGGGGTTACAGCTGGTGGTGCATCTAGCGGTCATCTCAGTCAGACAACCCACGGCAATTGCTGGGTCTGTCCCGTGACCAGTCAGCCTTCGACACTTCACATGGCAATAGGTTTTTACCCTTTCAACTGGTACAAAAACTGACACCTTTATACAAGGGATCATGTTTGCAATAACCACAACACAAGCAGTCAAAATGCAAACAAAAAGAAACAACTCTGATCATGATATGCACTGCAAATTGTTGTTTCTTTTTGTTTGCATTTTGACTGCTTGTGTTGTGGTTATTGCAAACATGATCCCTTGTATAAAGGTGTCAGTTTTTGTACCAGTTAAAAGGGTAAAAACCTATTACTATATTTTGCCACTGGTAAAGGAGGTCTCATCGTGTACTTCACATGGCCTCAAAGTGCACCCAGCCTGGCACAGGCACCGTCACTAAGTGGCGAATGGCATTGGTGTTGGGTATTGGTGGGGTGGTGGTAAGTGGGGACGCTCAGGTTGCCTCCTTGCAGGTACAATAACGGGACATGTAATGAGTACCGTATCTGAAGAATGGCATGTGTTGCAAATGCATTGTTTTGAGTGGTGTGTTCGTGCGTTATTGACGTAAATCGTACCACCGATTAGCACGGTAGACTACGTGCGGTGCAAAAGAAGTTATACAGTACATCATGCCCATAGACTCAACACTGCCCATTTATTCAACATTGACCCCATAGACACAACACTGCACTTCCGATTAGCACGGCCGGCTATGTACGGTGCGAATGAAGTTAAACATATACAGTGAACGAGGGGGGCAGGGGGTGAGAGACTAAAGTGACACTAGCCAAGGAGACAACGTTTGAGGGAGAGGGGCAATGGGCGACAAGTTGACGGGGAGGCCTAGGACTCAGACTTGTTTCTTCAGTGCGCTCGTCTTTTCTGCTGCAGGCTTTGTGCTCGGCGGAGCGTTTGGGATCTTCACAGCAGGAATTGACTCGAACGTGGGCATCGACCCGAAGGACCCAATGCGCACACCCACGGCCCGTGAGGTGCTGAAGGACATGGGCCAGCGCAGTGCGTCCTACGCAAAGAACTTTGCGATCATTGGAGCGATGTTCTCGTGCAGCGAGTGTGTTATTGAGTCGGTGAGTAGTAGATTCTTAAAAAAAGATATATTTTAAGGTCGCATTACATTTATTGAATCGAATATGGAATTCATCTTTTCCACGATACAACCGAGCCCAGCCAGAGCTGTGCAGAGCCAGGCTGACGTCGGTAAGGAGGCTACGGGTTCTTGTTTTTCCACTGCAGAAGCCGAGCCGTGGCGTGACACTGAAATGCAATTAATTAGTCGAGTCGCATGTAGACGACGCGGTGACGCCGTGTCCCCGGATTGTACTGGCTTATGTCACGCGCAACGAGTGCATCATTAGCCCGCAACCTTGGCCCTGTTTGACCCTGAGCCAGATTAAAATGTCACGTGAGGTTAGCGTATCATGGTCTGATACCGCCTCGGCACGTCAGATATCCAGTGGAAAACCACCCGTACCATGGGGCCCGCTTGGCCTGGCTCAGCTCGGACATGGCAGGAAAAAAGGGCTTTAAGATTCTATGATTTTAAAATTGTATTTGTTGTATATAATGGGTTCACTTTATCCTTGTGAACATTTAAGGTGCCACATTCATGATAATATGTATAAAGAAATATATACTGCCGTGGATGTGGTGAATCATTGAATACCTTTTGAGTGGTTGCACATTAACCAAAACACGGAATTTCAACTCCAATTATGTGGATAGGTGAAGCAAAGTAGAATTTTTTACTTTAAGAACCCTCTGGATGGAATGTAACAAAAATTATCCACATGTTAATTCAGTGACACCTGCATGTTATATTAGGGGGGGGAAGCTAACATCAAGATGTTTTATCTTTGCTGTATCGAGGCTTTTGTGACACAAGAGTAAGGTATTTAAAGGCATATTATACTGCTCCGGCGATGAAAAGCAGATGTGGAGGATTTAAAGGCTGATTTGAATTCACTGGTGCCTTTTTTTTCTCAGTATCGGGGAGTGTCTGACTGGAAGAACAGTACGCTCAGTGGATGCGCCACAGGAGGAATCATCGGATTTCGGGGTGAGACGCAGCCGAGGGCTTTCAATTTAAACAAAATCGTGTTTTGGTGCAAAATTGTCACCGTCGTCGTCATTATAATCATCATCGTCAGCCTTATCGTCAGCCTTGGTCAATACACTGCTGGATGTTCTCTCCGAGTTGTGATGTAATAGCCGATATTTTGTTGGACATTTTATGAGAGTTAGGTAGAGTTGCAGCCCTGCAATTTGCTTACTCATGCCACTGCTGGCAGAAGGGTCTCTACTAAGGAGAACTCTAGTCTTTCTTGAGGGTACTTGGTCTACTGTTCCACATTTACCAGGCCTGTTGGAAGTGATGGACGTACTCACACCTTACCTCACCACACACGATCTGTCAGTCAACTATGTGGTGTACCCATTTATGCTGGTTGGACAGCAGCAGGAGTTTTGAGAGTAATTAATCAAATTACTCGTAATCATACTATCACACACTGTACACTACTCGTTCTGAAATAAATCCTGAACTTTACAATTATTTTAGGGCCATCTTGCCGCTAAAAGTGACTAAACAGTAACATTCGTGCCAAGCATAAGCTGCACCGTGAGCCTGGATAATGTTAAGTGTGCATGCTGAGCACTCCATTCTCATACCTTAATAGGCAACAGATGATTGCAGCCTATTTTCCATTTTCTGCCCCTTTGGGACTCCCCGGCCCCTCTCCAGCTACATTACATTCCTTGGCATGGTGATGAAGTCTGTGGCAGTGGCAGCCATATATGGTTACCTTCGCACGCGCACAATTCGGTGCGATGGAACTTGCCGTTTATATATATATATATATTTTAATCCCATTAAAGCGGCAATTTGACGGGTGTTCTAAATGAAGTCGGGTTTTGTCAAAGGCTAAGACTGCGTGGGCACCAAATATTTTCTGTTTGGATTATAGTAATAGTGCTTAATTGGGTTGAGGTAAAAGGGGCAGCCATCCAATTGCTTCCTCCCGTCACTGCTGGAGGGAATGCTCAAACGACCCCTCCTAGATCTTGTTTTGGCCTGCTCTTCCACGTTGAGACAGGCGTGTTGGAAGAAATCAGAGCGCCCACACTCTACCACACCAGCACGCAACCTGCCGATCGACTGACTAATCGTGTAGAAACCGTTTATTTATAGCGGCTGGGTGGACAGAACCGATGGGAGGGATTTAAGAAACTTGCCCCATTGTTTCAACTACCGCGTCGGCAGATCGGACCGAACCGGCGACCTCTGACTTTTCAAATCCAGCGTGCTGACCGTTACACCGCGGCAACATCCCAGATTAATGTACCCCTTACCCTTTCTTGTTTTTCAGCTGGCCTGAAGGCAGGCGTACTGGGCTGCGCAGGATTCGCTGCTTTTTCGACAGCGATCGATTATTACCTCCGCTGAGCACCGCGAGAGGCCCGCGGTTGAATGTGTCGCGTATGTACTTGTACGGCCCTTTCTCAATCCACTGCTGGATGAGGGCCTCCCCCACACTGTGCGGGCCGTGGGGGTTGACCATAATGGTTTGTTACCAGTGCGGGTTGGTAAAGGTGGGGAACATTGACGATGGAGCATAGAATAGAGTCCAACAGCAGATGTTACTGCACTGCCCTATTGCTGACAATGTAGCTTCGCAGCAGCCTTTAACACCTGTTTTATGCATGGCAGTTGCCCATCCAAGCACTGTCCAGGATTGTTGCGGCTTAGCTTTCTAAATCTGGCACATTCCGGGTGGTTTGTTCATAGGTGTATTGCTTAAATCTTAAATATATATAACTTATGGATTACAAGATTACGTTTTCTGATAATTTAAGTATATTATGTTTCTGGTTTTAACAAAATTTGTTTAAAGAAACCATTTTACATTCGATGATTTTGCATGTATTTTGAAAAGTAACAACCCCTGAACAGTTACACGCGTGTTTATTTGTGCAAGTGTTCTCGTTTATGCTTTTCGCAAAAGGCGCACGAATGTTCAGTTGCTATCTAAGAATGGAAAAAAATCCAAATATTCGTCAAAAACACTGCCTGAAAGAAGAAATGTAATGAAATAACAGGCGGCGATTTTGGAAATCGTCCCTTTTTTGTTGGAGAGAGGTGACGAGGCCAGAGAGACCGAGTGAAGAATAGTTCGAATTTTCTATCGGAGCCTCGTGACGTATAGTGTAGTCTCCCAATGATTCATTCCATGCCCCTGGCCTCTGCCATTGCCCACATAACTCATTATACAATTCTTCGAAATTATGGCGGTGTTATTGATGAATGTCTTGTGTTTTCTGTTATTTGTGTTTTTGCACCACTGCCATTGCAGCGTCACGTGTTTCAGGCTTGAAATGGCGTGCGGGTTCGCTTGCACGCCAGCTTTTGGGCATAACTTCACCGCCAGCGGTGACAGTGTTTATGAAAGCAACTGTGATTTGTCTTCATGTCATTTGAAAGGTTATACATCTTAGCAAAGCCAGCAGAGAACAAACTGTGCAGTCAATGTTTATCACAGGCATGTATTGTTAAATGTATATATGGATGTATATAAGTATGACACACAACCCTATTGGAAAGTGACAAATTTAATAAAGATCTTCCAACCGATAGAATCTGTGAGTTATTTTCCCAGTTGAGAAGCCATTAAGTCTGCAGGAGGCAAGAGTAATACAAGTATTTTATGAAGGTAACATGAGTCAAGTGATGCATCATAATTATTTACCTAAGAGAGCCTCACTGAATCTCAAGACTCTTTTTCAGTGAGGGTGCTACACTGGAACATTTTGCCAATTCTCATACTGCGTGGTGTTTGGTGTGTGGAATTAAACCAGAGTACTGTACCCATAAAACATCCATGCATCGTATGAAGGGTTAACAAAGCTCCACACGGAGAGATCCAAGAATCCATCCTGTACTGCGATCTGCCTATTTCACAGCCCAAGCCTTCAATAACCTAGTATTACCTGACATTCTTTGGGATGTTTGGCCAAATCCATTACCAGGTACATATTTGTACTTGTCTGTACCCCCATGTATGGGGAGCAGTAGTTGTGGTTAGCGCACTGCTACAAATTCAGCGACCCGGGTTCGCTTCCTGCTCACGGCCACCACCAATGACTTACTGAACCAGTCCAGGGCCTCCCCGTGGTCAATTCGGCCTCAAATAAGTACCTTGTGCAGTGCGTAAACATTGTCACTCGGGAGATGGAGGCCCGGCGTCGTGCTAACCACCCACCCCCTCGTATGTCGTGCTGGCCTTCATAGGTCATCGCCGGCAGCACTTCCCCCAACAGTCTGGCTACACGGGAGGTGTTTGTATTTTTTTCTATGGCCACCATGCACAGGTCCCTGTGACAGTCATCATTGGCACCTTCGGGCCACACCTCAGCAGCCCCAAGCGCGATAACCCCTGGTCGTTGTAACCCATCCAGGTTCAAACGAGTCTGAATCCTGCTTCGTTTACGATAGGCTGACGTGATTGGGCACGTTTATGGCGATTCGTGTGTTTATATCTTTGTGAGTCATTCTCCAAAACACCCAAGTTTCCATTGCAAATGGTACCATGACAAAGAAATCCCAAGCATGACCTTCTGGGTTAGGCCACCTGTTGTTGGCAAGTGATGAAAAAGAAAAGTCAAGCTTCCCCACGTGTGCAGCGTCGCGAAAGGTTGAAGGAATACAATGAAAATACATCCTCAACTTTGGATTAAAAGTGGCTGTGCAAAACCCATGCGCTAAAATGACAAAAGGAAACTTGAAAACAGCAGTTTATTTATACTCATCATGTACAAAACAAAATATTTTTTTTAAACGCAGATGCAACATTTTACAACCATGAGCAATTGTGAGTTCAACTTTCAAACAGCAAGACCACCTACGTAGGCTACGGACACGTTTCAATGGGCGGCGGTCTTAATTGTTGGCGATAGGAAGGAGGCGTCGGTGACAAATAAAAAAAACAGATGTTTGTCTGGCGTGACAGTTTCCGAGTACAAAAATAAAGTTGGTCTATGTCAAAAAGAAATTAAGTCGGCGATTACATTGGTAAATCCCTGTACAAACCCAACGGGATGGGTTAAGGTAGCGCGATACATGGAACTTGAGAGCCACAAGCTTTATAAGCAAGCATCGGCAGAGGACAGCTGCTGCCTTGGGCCTCTGTCGCTTTATGGAGATAAGACCTCCCTGGTCAGTGTGAGGAGTCAGTTTGGCACTGCCTAAGGGTGACGAGAAATTAGAGCCGCGTTGGTGGCTTGCCAATGGAGCAGAGGTCGCAACCGGGTACCCGATACCCGTACCCTACACGATACCCGGCTACCCGTACCCGGCCGGGTACGGGTAGGCCGTGAGTCGCTGGTGAGTAACCGTTTGGCACTCATTTCCCAACGTCTTGTGTCTCTTCTCACAATTCAAGTTCCTAGAATCAACCCATTCATGCCTGCAACATGGCTTCATCCCAGAGGTCGCAATCAGGGTACCCGATACCCGTACCCTACCCGTACCCGGCCGGGTACCCGGCCGGGTACGGGTAGGGTATGGGTACGGCCGGGTACGGGTACCCGTTTGCGACCCTGGTGCGGCCGGGTACGGATAAGGAATCAAAACCCGTTTGCGACCTCTGCAATGGAGTCGATTCATTAACTGAAAAGTGTGATTGCATTTTTTGTGGTCGGTTATTCAGGGCCCTTTAAATATATCCTGCCTCGTGAAAGCAGGAAACCCCCTACAAGCCACGCCCATTGGGGGCGTGGCTGAGAATGCCGATGACATCACTATCCCTCTCACTTGATACAGCTATCGTGCTGTGACTGTTCCACCTGAAGACGGAAGCTTGTGTTGCCTCCGAAACGTCGTGATTTTTATTTTATTTTTATTTTACTTTTATTAATTTAAAATTTTTACCTACGTGACTTTACCTAAGAATATGAATATCACTATCCCCGCCTATCACTTCACGCCCAGCGGCTCAAGTAACAGTGGCGAGACATTTATTTTTCCAAACCATATTTGTGTTATAACGATTAGTTGGGTAATCAATGTGGTAATCGCTAGAGTAATCGATTACTCATAGCATGGGAGAGGACATCTCAGCAATTGACACATTCTAACACTTTCTGTAAACTACGAGAAACTTTCTGTGCCTGATGAAAGGGGGCTTGATCAAGTAAGAGCCCCTGGGCACAATGCAAGTCGACTGGTCGTGACACTCTAAACAACGAGAGCCACAACGAGAGCCCTACACACAAACAGATCCGCAAAATGTACAAGCTGAACATCATAGAGAATGGTTATTGTTTTTGTTTGCTTCGATTTAAAGCCACAATATACTGTAGTACAATATTTTAATGCGCCGCGAAATTCGGTGCGTTTTGTGTCCACTAGATGGCGCTAAAGGTTCATCAGAGAGCCGTTTGGTAAGATTCGGGGTGAGATCATCACTCTCGTTTGTCAAACCACTTTCACGAACGTTTGAACGAATCCTCGACTGGATCGTAGATTAGACCTTACGCCCAGTGTTGTGTGTACCGCAAAATCACAGAATTGGAAAAACGTGGGGGCATCAGGGTTTAAAGAGCACCGTCTACACGTGTAGCTAAATAAATTCAACGTTTTAGTCCATCGGCCTATTGGCTTTGCGGACGATAGTTTGTGTGCAGTGTTCTTGCCAATAACATCTGATAGTTACAATGATTTAACTGATCAGCATATATTTCAGAGGCCTGACTGCAATCGACATTTGAGAATGTTTGCCATCTAAAATCGCTTACACAAATGCTGCTGGCTCAATAGGCTGATGGGTTAAAATAAATATAATTTATACTTGGAGACACAATGGGGCTCTTGCTTCGTGTACCTTATATGCAAATCAACCCCGACGGGCATTTTTGCTGCAGCTCATATTTACCGAAATGACCAAGAGGTGGCACTGCAAGCCTATCACGCACCACGCGAGAATGGTTTTTGAAAAAAATAAATGGTCCAGATTGGAGGTGTTGACGGCACATGATTTCTTCGAAGCCAAAATATTCACTGTTTGCATGAGGTCGGCGATAAAAGAAGAATTTGTCGATCAACAAATTTCACCGGTGCAATCGCGGCTCACCTGTTAATAGTGGACTCTGAAAACTCACGGCCACACGCGCTAATTTACGTGCGATAAAAAACGATGGTTTTCAAATCTAATGTCGCCGCAATGGGCTCTCACAAGCCCCAAAGGTTAAAACCCAAATCCACTCTTGAATCGAATGGCGACTATTCATCGGAGCAGCGTGGGGTACGAATAATCATTTGAACCCGCTGGCAGACAGGTTCAATTAACCCCAGCCAAGTTGGCGAGGGTGATAATTCAGACAATCTCTTCCGAAGTATTTCGCCATGACTTCTTGTGTGCAAAATAAAAAAGGCTCACTTTCTCTCCAGGATGTGGGGCTTCTCAAACTCCAATGCACAAGCCCCCACCACAGTGAGCGGACGAGCAGCAGATATTATTAATAGCGGCCAAAATCAAAAGGTGACACGTTCCAATGGATGGGCAAAAAAGAGGCTGAGCACACCCAAACTAGATACGACACTAATCCCAAACCCCAATTAACTAAGTCAACCATCCCGCTGGTACTGGTGACTTGCTGTGTCGTGATACTGCTGCGGGTTGGACAGGCAGGGTAGCGCGTCCACTACGGACACGTTTCGAGGGCCCTCCCGCCTCTCTTTGAGGGCCATTTGGCCAACTCACCCATACTGGCCATAAGTCGTGGAAGAGGTGGGAGTTAGCCATACTTTACCCCACCACACGTGACCCTCTGACTGAAAAAAACACCATTCCCTTCCTGTAGACAGGTACCGCGATGTAAAAATGTATTCAGTAAGTTTCTGCAAAGGGTAAAATTGGTACCCTATATTCCGGTAACATACACTCAACATCAATGCCGCTTTGAAAAACAGTCGTATACGCCAGCCCAAGTATATCATTCTGTTTTCGTAAGAGGTGCTAAATAACTGCAAAAAGAACTAATATATATTTTTAACCAAGCATGTACTTTACCATAACCTACCTATACCTACGCAACCTACTACGCCACAAATAAATGTGTAGGAAGTATTTAAACGTATTCCAGATAGACCAGTACAAAACATACTTCACGTCTGGATAAGTTGTACCGATCTTGCAACGTCCTGAAGTTGTGTTTATTAAACACCGAGCGACGGTGGACATCCGGCAACGGTAAAGCAATGTATTTATGTAAAAATAAAGGAATTGTCACAACATGTTATTTTACATTGAGTCATGCCCAAAAAAGAAATTAGCACCAGTCCGTATACATCATTGCGGTGTAAAAGCTGTCCGTATAATCCTCTTTGAATGCAGCAGATTTAGTGCGGATACGTAAAACCTTTTCAATTGCAGGTTTTGGTAAAACAGTGCAAGTTGTAAGCCGGATTAATGAGAGGTTTGGCATGGTCGGCAGTGGCTGGGGAGACATGCGTTTTGGCCTTTGCCAATCAATGCCCAACGCAAAAATGCCGCTTACCCATCTAACATTGCCTGGGTACGCTCTCCGTACCTGGTTTCATCATGGTTCAAGGAGGGTGCTTTATACACGATGTTGTACAAAGATCTCCCTCACAGACTTTTGGGGCAAGTGCTGTTCGCGAGCACACACACACACACAGACACAAATGGACACACGCGCGCACACAGACAGACAGAGACGCACAGCAGTTCACATCGAGTGCCTTCCTTGGGGGAGGCCTGTTCATAAAAACATTGTGCTATATACAGGCAAGAAGAGTATTCTAACATTTTCAATGCAAAAAAAAATATTTCAAACAAAATAATATTGACGACAAACACGAAACAGAAAAAAAAGGACTGTGTTTTTGCACGCAGCATCTCAAGAGTACGAGACACAACAGCTTGCCGAAAGTGTCTAAATATTATATGTGCTGAATCAAAAATGTGAACTCAGCGGTTTGTATTCGAAAAATTAAACGATCACTTGTAGAAGTGGCTTAACGTGTGCAGGGCATGGAGAAGAGAGAGTTGAACTTACAAAATTATGATTACATTGTCAATGGATACCTTTCAAAAACTACAGATTTAATCTACACACGGCAGACAACAAAAAATAGGCGTTCATTACGAATAACAACCAAGTACATCATAGCTATATATTTAAGTCCCCCCCCCCATCTTACACAAAACATTGTACAATAATTTAAAATTCAAAACAAGACAACAACCCAACAATAATGTGACCCCTTCAAACGCCATGAAAGAAAAACAAATCAGTAGAATATTCAATCACCGTTTGGTCCCCCGGATCGTTTTGCAAAGCTGGTTTGGCATAGATTTTGTACAAACCCCCCCCCGCCCCCACCGTTATCAGAGCCCGGCCCACCCTTCTCCAATGGGCACAAGTAGGCCACAGACCAAATCTCAGGTGAGCCACGTGAAGGAGCAGCCGCTGGAAAAGCAGCCAGCCCAACATTACAAACAGTGTAACACACATATATTACTGCACTCTATGCGTGCAGTCTTTGTACGTTTTCAATACAAATGTTCCATGCTTGGCGCCGAGCTGGTTAAAGCGCCCAGCGGTGTGCTCCAGGCGTTCATCGCCCCCCCCAGTCTCCCTCATCGGTGGCGTCGTGCGTGCGTGCGTCCGCCGCTACCGTGGGCTCATCGGTCACACGATTCCAAGACGCTGGACCGCTGCATCATCCGACGCTCGTTCGCATTGGCGCTCGCGATCTCGGGAGGTCCCCCCTGGACACGAGTTTCAGCGGTAAATAGCCCGTCGCTCGACCCGTGCTCCCCCTAGGGTTGCCACCTATCCTGGTTTTCCCAGGATTGTTCTATTTTTTTTAAAGATAGTTAGCTGGGTGTCTTCGGAAATCTCTAAGTCTTCCCGGGATTGAAAGCCGCGGTTTTCGTCAGCTGCGTTACTGATGCACCCCTCTCGACAATGCATCTACGTGAAGTAACTTCGTCCGCTGCAGGTGTTGTGAGATATTCTTCATCCCGTGACGTGTCCCGGTTTTTGTGAAACCATCAAAAGTGGCAACCCTAGCTCTTGGTGTATCGTGAAGCGCCTCCGTCGATTGATGCGGCAGCTCTACCAAAACGCAAAAACCAAGCAACGCGTTTATCTCAGCTTAGCGCCTGCCTTTCTCTGTGACTAGACGTGTGTCGGCAGGGGGAAGGCTCCGTCTTGTACCCGTGGTGACGGTTAGCCACGCTGGCAGAAGGGCCTCCATCGAAGTGAGCTCTAGGGCACCCCCCTATCCCTCCCCCCCATAGGGTATTTGGCCGACTCTTCTACTATGCTGGACAAACTTGCCAGAGATGGGGAGTTCCCACATTTTACCCCACCACATCACATTGAACGCAACGAGGCTCCACCCTGAGATGTCCCTCGTCTGAAAGCCTGATGGTGTCGTTTGTCGTCGGTCTAAACCGATTAGAATGTGATGCGCCTCACGACGTCTTCCACTGATATGATAAAAGCTATTGACGGAAACCCTGCCACGTGTTTTCACAACGTCTAATTAGTCCATTACAATCAGGGGACGATTGAACTGCATCATCACGCTTACTGCAGGATGGATTACCGTAGCAGTTCATTGACTAGAGATGTAATCACTGTGCTCATTATATCAATCGTGCTTGCTCTTTACATTCTTTTGACGCAACTAAATCTTTCTTGTCGATTTACAGTCTCAAGTTGAACGTTGGCCCGTGGTCCCTTTCTGGTGAGCTTGAGGGGGAAGAGATCGGCAACGGAGACGAACACGTGGGTGTCTGGACAACGCAGCGAAGCCGTTTGGTTCACAGGACGGACTAAGCGTGGAGATGGAGATCCCAAGACAAGCCGACCGTCGGATTGTGAATGACACATAATGATGACGACAACGATGAAAATCTCTCAACAGCGAATAGACAAACTGAAATCAAAATTCACGCTTTCGAGTTTGTCCATGCGGTCTTGTGCTCCTGTTCCTACGAATAACCCTTGGGGGTCAGAGAGGAGATACCGCTGTACCATGTACGGTTCAGTCGCTAATGCCGCGCGGAAGCCTATGGATGTCCACCGTAACCACCAGGGTGTGTGTTCTGCACTCGGCAGACACGGGGCGATTTGTCATCGTTGTGATTCTTAACATCTCGTTGGCTTTGTGCACACGCACGCACGCACGCACGCACGCACGCACGCACACACGCACGCACGCACGCACGCACACACGCACGCACGCACGCACGCACGCACGCACACACGCACGCACGCACGCACGCACACACGCACACACGCACGCACGCACGCACGCACGCACGCACACACGCACACACGCACGCACGCACGCACGCACGCACGCACACACGCACACACGCACGCACGCACGCACGCACGCACGCACACACGCACACACGCACGCACGCACGCACGCACGCACGCACACACGCACGCACACAGGGTTGGAAGCGCTGGGCGTGGGCAAGTGCCTCCTCACCATTAATCCACCGACGCATTTTGGTTTTGCACAAATTCAAATAAAAATACTTAATAGCAACGCCTGCAGATCCACCGAGACTTATATAGAGACCCTTGTTCCAGCAGAGGGACAGATGGAGAGACAGGCCAAATGGGCTAAGCTGCACGATTCCCACCTCAGCCAAACTTGCAGCTGGCTTGTTTTATATAAAAAAAAAAAACGCAAAACAAAACGTCCACTTGCACGGAGGTGTCCGAGAGACCCGCGGCAATGATCGATCGCTCTATGCTACGGTCGGGCCAACCCTGCAGGTGGAGGAATGCGAACGCTGGCTTTGGCAAAAAGGACGACGGGCACCAGCGCTGCTGGGGAGGGGAGCTGTTGCCGAGCGCAGCGGATGCGCCGCGCCGATGACGATCGGGGCAATGGAGGAGTGCGTGGAGGAGAAGAGTGGGAGGGGGCGCGGGCCGACCCGCTCTAGATCAGCAGGCGACTCTGTCGCTTGCTCTCGGACGGCTGAATGGACTCCATCTGCAGGAAGTAGAGGAGGACCTGCACCTGCAGACAGACACGACGCGCGACGCCATCGCATTGAACATCACCAACGCTGTGTTGGCGCGCAAGACGACACAATTCACAATACGATTTGGATCTGTGTGTTACGCAATGAGAGACGGCGAAAGGGGTTGGGAAGGTATGCATCTATCATGCAGTGGATACATCGTGGGTGATGATGATGATGTATTTAATGAGAATCATTGTAACTAGGCTGCTAATTATTGACCCTCCATCTCCCGGTGATTTAATTGTCACGATTCCAGGTAGCAAGACTTCTTTTGTTCGTCTGATTTTTATAGCCTTTGTATTGTTGCTTATTTTACGTGTCTCATGTGTTGAGTTATTTTTGTGGTTTTCCCACCTGATGATGATTGCTTGTGTTGCAATCGAAGCGTCGTGATTTAATTTATTTTATTTTCTACCTACGTGACTTTACCGAAAGAACCAAAGAGCATGGATCCCTGCAGTCTACGAAAACCTCAAATCTAGATAATTTTTGCTCCATTAGCCAAAATATAATATGAACATAGAAAATTACATATGGTTTGTACAATTAGTTAAGTAAATCACCGTCAACCACATGATTAAATTCAGTATCACACGTGTAATAATCTATTTCAAAGAGCGATTCAATGCATAGTTACATGCCTAATTGTACACTTAAACACAAATAATGATTTGAACGAATCAAATGAGATGGACAATGGAAACGAGACAGACAATGTAAACGAGACCAACAAGAATTAATTTCCCGACTCGAATCAAGACCCCAAATCCTGACAATTCATCAAATCGCAGCAAGGGGCACGATTGTTCCATGCCGAACAAACCTATCTTCTGCGCCGAATCAAATTAAATTTCCATGCAACCTCGCTCAGTTCATCCTTCATATAAATCATCTCAATTGTGTCGTGAATGACTTCCGAGAAAAGCATCGTCTCGGATTTGCCACTGCGCACGAACAAACGAAGGCACGCGCGCACGAACGTCAAGTTCACTTTCGTGCGAGGGTAGATCCAGCCCCACGTGGCGTTCGTTACGTGGCCTGTTTGTGATTACGCTGCGGTCGCCCACCGCTCGGGCTTACTCAAATATTTATCCTGCGGGGTCTTCCAAGCGGAGTCTGGTTTGCGTTTTGTCGGCACGGAACTGCATACGATTGGAAATATATAAAAACGTTCTATTTCTATCTTTGGGTTATTCAAAGCTCGCCGGCTTGTACAGACAGCACCGTAGCCTTGGACCACGCGTTCAAACGTTCGGATAGCAGCGTCGTCGCTCGGCGAAATTTGCGCGTTCAATCGTAACAGCGTCGAGAATGCGCGCGCACTCCAGTGAGGCGCAAATGCCAAACTCTTTTTTTTAGCGCGACGGGAACATTTTGTTCAGATACTGTTCAATTTGATTGTTATGAAGATAACAAAAATAAATCGCTTTAAGTAAGCCCGAGTTGCTCAGAGGTCAGAGTGCCGAGCCTGCAATGTCGAGAGGTTCTGGGTTCGAATGTGGGGGGGGGGGGGGGGGGGTGGTGGTGAAGCCGCCCAACTGTAATGAATGAGTGTGACGAGTTGAAGGTGTCAGCCGAGGCACCAAGAAACACCCATGTAAAAAAACTAAAAACCTATCATCTAAGCTCTGGTTTGAAACTTTATTTAGTCAAATTCCAGCTCTGACAATTATATATATGTACTGGTTTCACTAACATGCAACAATCTCCTATCAGAGTGCGTGGGAAAATGTGACCCTGCTGTAGAAAAGCCAAAAAAAGGCCACTTGAAGGATTGTTCTGGGAGAAGTTATGTGAGAAGTATATTCTGCAGCTGTTAGCCAACACACAAGGGGGGCTTTGCTCTGTGAGATTTCCAAACGGATTCTTCATCTTGTGACAGTGGTGTGGATCGTAAAACGGAAATAAATTCGGAAGAGAGCAAAATAAGTAAAAACGTGCAAAATGAGATGCGTGCGCTTGTAGAGACGGTGGCATTACAGTGACATGCAAAATGTAATAACAAATATTCCCTATGTACATGTAGACAAACCTCACTTGGTATAAGTATTTTTTCAGGAGCGTGCTCCTACATTGGCATGTTGGCCAATTCCATTAATGAGTGTTTGGCTGCGTATGAGAGGAAACCAGAGCATCCGGAGAAAAACCCACCGAGTATATAAACCGGCTAACACTCAAAAGCTTCGCACAGATGAATTAATAAAATCGACCGCTCATACTGTAACCTCCTGGCCACCCCACAGCCTAAACCCACAACACCTGGCATTCGCATGCAGTCTCCCATTCGAGTATAAATCGTTGCTTAGCTTCAGAGATCTGACGAGATCGGGCGCGATTCCGGCCGACTCGGTCATGGATAGTTTACGGGAGCGTTCAAGTCCATACAGAGTCTATACTGGACACACTGGCGAAGGGCGGCGGGTACGTGGTTTGCGGAACACAAGTTCAACACAGGTACGCAGTGTGCCCAGCCCTGCGAGATGGCTAAGCCCGGCGCCTAGCGCCAGAGGTCGCAACCGGGTACCCGATACCCGTACCCTACCCGATACCTGGCTACCCGTACCCGGCCGGGTACGGGTACGGGTACCCGTTTGCGACCCTGGTGCGGCCGGGTACGGGTACGGGTAGGCCGTGAGTCACTGGTGAGTAACCGTTTGTCACTCATTTCGGGTAGGGTACGGGTAGGGAACGGGTACCCGTACCCGGCCGGGTATGGGTACGGGTACCCATTTGCGACCCTGGTGCGGCCGGGTACGGGTACGGGTAAGGAATCAAAACCCGTTTGCGACCTCTGCCTAGCGCACACTTGTCTGCCTGCGCAGGGTTGGGGGGGAGGAGATGGGGGTGGGCGGAACGGGGCGGAAACTCGGGACTTCCTGGGAACTCTGCTCAGAACATTCTCCCATGAATCCACTTCACTCCCTCGGCTGCTCAAGTCCCTCCGCTTCGCGGCGCTCCGTGACGCTCCGCGCGCGCCTGCGAAATGTTCCGTTCTCGGCGCGCGATGCTCACAGGCGGTGTGGCGTGCGGAGGGCTTCAATTCAGCCGGGTGTGTTTGTAAAACTATTAACAAAAATATATTTTACCAGGTAAGGCCGACTGAGCTATGTAAACTCCTTTTCAGAAGCAACCTGGCCACAAATGATAGCGCAACGAAGCGGGTGTAAAATTTATAGCGGCCAAATACTCTAAACGCATGTTGATTCTAAATGTGGAGGGAAAAACCGGAGGACCCGGAGAAAAATCCACATCACCACGGGGAGAACATGCAAACTCCAAATATACAGGCGTCAGGGTCAGGATCGAACCCACAGACCTCCTGTATACAAGGCAAGGTAGTTAACATCTCGCTACTGTGGGCTTCTTTCGCACCTTAGTAGCCAACCGTGCTAATCGGGATGTCTGGGGGGGGGGGGGGGACAATTAACTAAACACCAAAATCAGTTCTACAGAAATGCGTTTTCAAAATAGATTTAAAAGTGCATAGCTCCAGTGTCTTCCGGGTTGGCACCTGTCACACATGTAAGTAATGTTTGCCACGTCAGGGGTACAAATAAAACTCGAGTACTTCACTGAAAGAAGAATCTCACAACAACGGAAGAGGGGAGAACTTCACGAAAACACATTTTCTTGAGTCATGTATTATTATGCAACTGAAAAAAACTGAAATTATTATGTCCTGGAAAAACATTGAAATTTCCCTCTATATCATGGGACCTCCTATGCCAGTACCAAAATATGAGAATAGGTTTTCCCCCTTTTTCTGGCAACGAAACAGGTGTTAAGTTGTATAAACGCCAAACTGAAACCTTTTACAAGGAATCATGTCTGCATTAATACTTGTGGTCAGAATGCAAAAACAAAACGTACTCTGATAATATAGTGCATTGTCTTTGAAACTAAAAGGCCTTTAAGCGTCCTCTGGTCTAACACCGTTTTGAGACTAGGCTCAAAAGAAAGCTGTCTCTGGTGTGGACCAATCAGTTTCAAAGACAATGCATATATTATCAGTGTTTTTTTGGGGATTCTGACCACAAGTATTGTGGTTAATGCAGACACGATTCCTTGTAAAAGGTTTCAGTTTGGTGTTTTAACATCTTAACACCTGTTTTGTTGCCAGAAAAAAGTGGAAAAACCTATTCTCATTTCCCTCTATAGTTACCCGAGAAAGAGGATGATTCTGATAAAAACCAGGCCGATTTCAACCCTAAGCACACCACATCGAGTATGGTTGTAAAATAATAAATCAAGATTCTGGCGACCAGTTATCTACCAACTTACTCCCAGTGCACCAAGCCACGGTGAACGTTTTCGCATTCCTAAGCGAGAGCACGCCCAAGGGTTGCATGCGTGCGTAATTAAACAAGAAAGCGCGCACTGAAGGCAACTCTCTGCCTCATTGGGAGGCCTCACTGGAAATCTAGACAGCCTCTGAGTGATTGCATCTCGTTGCTATAAAATGACTTATTTTGTTTCCACCCACCACCCCCCACCCACCAAACCAGCAAGTGCCCATTTCCTGCCCTGCTATTTTGTTTTTGCTTTTAGACCAATTATAGGGAAACAACTGACGAAGTCTACGTGCGTCAGGGCTAGAGACGAATGGTCCTGCCACCCTGATTGCTGCGTCTCCCAGGGCAAGCGGCGGTAAAGGATGTAACGAGGTGGGGAGGGGGAGGGGCGAAGGCCTAGTGAGACCCCCACCTCCTCACACGTCCCCCCACCCACCACCTCGCTGAGGCCTGTCCAAAGAAAAAAAAACACAGCCCAAGCAGCCCCTGGGCAGCAGGAGAACATCTTACCAACTCCCTCGTTTAACATTCATTTAATAAAATGGAGAAACTGGATACTGCCGAATACTATAATTGCAGTGCGGCTTACGGACAACTTTTAGAAAGAAGATTTTTTTTTCCAAAATAAAAAAACTGACGCTACTGAGATGAAAATGTTCAGACTTGTGCAGTACACACGTGCCGGGCGGTGGTAGCGGCCTGTGATCCAGCACTGGAAGAATGTGGGCCTGTATGTATTCGGCTGACATGTGGGAAAATAGTCATGAGAATTAGAAATTTCACCTGGCTTCTACTAATATTATTAAAAGGTCCATAGCAGAGGTATTTGGGTTAGATCGCGTAAACATAAATGTGTTGTTAAACCCGCCACCATCCGACACAGCCAATTCGTAATTGGCACGTTTCGTTTACGTGACAAAGCTTACTAATTGGCTCTGTGGGTGGTGGCGGTTTTAATGACACAGTTATAAATACACGATCTAACCCAAAAACCTCTATTATGGATCATATTGGTCGCGAAAGCCTCCGTGTTATTTTAAAAGGTGACTATTAATAATAATGCCAATCATTTACCAAATCAAGCTCAAGTTGAAAATCTTATTTTCACAAGGGTTCTTTCTGCCTTTGAGATGTTGGCCAACACCATTGAGTGTTTGGCTTCACGTGGATGGAAACTGGAGGAAATGAAGAGTCATCCTGGGAAATCTGTCGGTCTTTTTGGGACATTGAAAGTCCTGATTTTTCAGTTGTGTAACAATATACCACTCGAGACAACGCGTCTAAATGTAGGTTTCCCCTCAGCTGTTATTGTCCGATATTCTTCTTCCCATAATACATCTCAATTGTTGTTTGTACCTCAGGAGGTGGCAACCCTGACCCCCGACACATATAACACCCGGCAAGCCTTGCTGTGGTTACCCCCCAAAAATCGATCCAGGCTCAAACCTTGTCTGAAGAGATCGGTTACATTGCCACGCGAATCGGTCATCGGCCTTCATCGCGCGTTTATCTGTCAACGGCGTCCGACGTCACATCACCGGTGCCACCACCCCCTCGGGGTATGCGGGGAAGCGAACCTGAGCCATGACCTCCAACGACCAGCTGTCCACGCTCACGATGGCAGCCGGGGAGCTCTTGGAGTCCTTCTCGGAGGGCCGCAGCAGGGTTGGGCCGAACACCGTGGCCAGGTTGTGCAGCGTCATCTTGTTCGCCGAGTCGTGCTCCGCGACCCTGCGTTGCGCACACCGGATCGGCGTTAGCGTCGCGAGCGCCCGGCCGTTCGCGTTTGCCGCCGCCGCTTCCATTGCTTCCCCGACAATGAGTGGCCCCGGCGTGCGCAACGAAGCGTGTCGGCACGCCAGTGACGTTGGTTGTTTTCCAACCAAGTTGTCAAGTCGAGGTGGAGCCATCTCTCGTTCTCCGATGTGCGTGTTCAGGTTGAATATTCGGTTCCTCAAGAAGCTCCGAGCGCGTGGAGCGAAACGTCAGACAAGGGTGCTGTGGCGCTTCACTAAGGGAGACCTGGGTGTTGTGGCACTTCACTAAAGGGAGACCTGGCTCACGTGACACTTCACTAAGGGAGACCTGGGTGTTGTGACACTTCACTAAAGAGAGACCTGGGTGATGTGACACTTCACTAAAGGGAGACCTGGGAGATGTGACACCTCACTAAAGGAGACCTGGTTGTTGTGACACTTCACTAAGGGAGACCTGGGTGATGTGACGCTTCACTAAAGGAGACCTGGCTCACGTGACACTTCACTAAAGGAGACCTGGGTATTGTGACACTTCACTAAAGGGAGACCTGGGTGATGTGGCGCTTCACTCAGGGAGACCTGGGTGATGTGACACTTCACTAAAGGAGACCTGGCTCACGTGACACTTCACTAAAGGGAGACCTGGGTGATGTGACACTTCACTAAAGGGAGACCTGGGTGATGTGACACTTCACTAAAGGGAGACCTGGGTGATTGTGGTGCCTCACCTGCGCAGGTGGCCCAGCAGGAACATGAAGGTGGTGTAGTTTGGCTCAGGCAGGGACTGCATCACGTTGAGCATGCAGTTCTCCTTGGCCACGGGGTCGGAGAGCGCTGCCACGTGACACAAAGACAAAGGCCCCCCCATGTAGCCCTTACCGGACTGTTGGCATAATTGCTGGATGGGTGGCCAGCACCACGCCCCGCTGCTTTAGTCTCCCCCAGTGCAGATTTGTATACACTGCATCAGGTACTCGTTTAAAGCCGGGTTAACCTGGGGGGAGGGCCAGGGACCGGTTTAGATCTGGCGTCACCGTTGTTGGCTGTAAGCGAGGATTTTACTCCGGGTTGGTCGCACAGCGCGCTGACCGTGACACTATGATCGCTCCCCACCACGTGACACACACACACACACACAGCACTTCAGCCCAGCGGCACGTGCATACGCCCAAAAAGTACTCTGGGCAAGACTTCGGGTCATTGAGTAATCAATCGACACTCGAATTTTGACACTAGGTAAGCATTGGGTACTTTCATGGTGGTAGAATGCAACGTTACTTTCGAGTCAAGAGTCATTTTGATTAATTGCTGCACCACTACGCCTGCTAGCGGAGGGTGGTGGTGGGGAGGTAGGGGGGCGGCTTGCATCTCCGTAACTTACCAATGGCCTCCACAAAGCTGCGGTACTTCTCGTCGGTGAGCAGTGGCTCGGGCAGCTCCCGGAAGTACAGCTTGAGCACGCCCGCGATGGCGTTCACGTCCATTTCGCTCAGCATCACCAGCACATCCTTGTGGTCTGCAGTCGGGGGGGGCAGAGGTGACGCGCACGGACCACGGATAGTCAGAGTATTGGTGGTAGTAATAAAAACCTGTCCATCGCTTTGACTGCCAAATAGGGAGAACGGATCGAATCCGGCGACCTGTGGATTTCTCACCATTACACTGTAACTCTGTGAAAAAGAACTTTACAGCTCATCGGATTCCTCCAGTATAAATAAAGATTCTGATTCTGATACACCGCGCCAGCCTCCCAACCTTCCTAATATTATTTATTCGTGCAATACTAATGCATTACGAAATAAGTTCAACATCCATACATCGTAAATTACTCTGGATGGCTACTATAAGATGAGCAGAGTCCTGTAAGCAACTGGCAGATCACCAGCATTGGTTTAAGCAAGCCTAACCCTGTTGGCAGGTGACCCAATGTCTAAACCGGCCCAGAGATTGCTTGAATTAAACCAACGCTGCTGAAAAATGTAACTCTCAGAAGGCCGGTTGATGCTATGTGTAAAAATATATGTTAGAATTTTTGTACGTGGAAGAAAATATATGAGTAGGAGGCGTATTGCATGCTTATTGAGTCCGACGTTTCGTTAGAGACCAGGAGACGCACGGACTCGAAGCTGTGGAGGGTGGCGGTGTCGTACGTGCGTGCATGTGTGTGTGCGTGCATCCCGACGCTTACTGTTGTCGAACGCCGCCTTGAGCGTCTGGATGTCGGTGGCGACGCCGGAGATGCGGTAAATGCCGACCTCGTCGATGGCTCTCCTCTCGATCTCTTCCACGCACTGCCTCACCACGTACGGCACCTTGGAGCGCTCCCGCCTGCCATCGATAAACACGTGCGCACGTCAATGCTCGCTCGGTGTGTGCGTTCAAAGTTCAAAGTTCATTTATTAGGTAGAGCCCTGTGAGCCATTCGGCTCTTGAATCGGGTGCAACCGCCACAAACAAAAAACCATGAACAAGAAAACATCTTAAAGTGACTATGTGCAAACAGAAAATCCAAGAAAAGACAGCAAAATATTGCAGAAAAATCACCGTACACCAACCCTGTGCAAATATCCCAGTGGGATGCAAGTCAAACAACAACAACATGTGTGTGTGCGTGTGTGCGACACACAGCCACACGGCTAGGGTTGCCACCGCTGAAGAACAACCAAACGAGGACGTGTTACTGGAAGAGGAATATTTGACAATACCGGAAGAATCTTGTTAATATTATGCAAGTGACAAAAGTTGGGACCATATTTTCTGGTTCTTTCTAGAAGGAAAAAAGTTGGGACTTTTAACGTCTCGTAAAAACTTATGTATTTCCCAGGACATCTTCCTCAAAAATAGGACGATGCTGGAAAAACCAGGACAGGTGGCAAGTCTACCCACACTACTCCAGGGTTCCAAGGGAACAGGACTGGCTACGCATGTAGAGGCCAACACTTGTGCTTCCTATAACGCAGCCGAGACACTTGAAGGAACGAGGCATTCAACGCTGCACGTTAGACGCCAGTTGCGTAACTCCACAAACAAAAATTTAGTCCATCAGCCACATTGGCTTTCCAGACCATTATCGTTATGCGTCATTCGATTAAGCAAACTCTGGCACGATTTTGGACTTTTAGGTCTCATCAGCGGAATAAATTTCCATCTTTCCTTCCTAATGCTTTGGTGTATAATTGAGCTAACAGGTAGTGGGATCCTAGTGTAATTACAATCCACTGCTGGATGAAGGCCTCCTCATTGAGCCGCCGCCCTCTCTCACAATCCTGCGATGCAACAATCCGCCTAGCACCTGCAAAACAAGCAGATTTCACCATTCCATCTCTCCGCGGTGGACGTGACCCAGGGGACGTGTTCCGTCCTTTGGCGGCCACACCCTTATTACATAACATCAGCGGGTTCCTATAAAAAGCCCCGTGCTACAAAAAACACACAATGCGCGCGAGTTCGCTTCACAAGAACGCACCACGTGACTGCATTTAGTGACAGCGGCCCTACGTAAGCCGGCAAAAGCCCGCGATATTTTCTAAGATGCAAAGAGGCTTAAGTTTAACTCAAACATCGCGATTGAAATGTGCGCTTCGGACACGCTCTGCCCAGACTATTAGCGAGTCTTAGCAGTGGCGTGGATGTGTGATGATGTAACAAACGTGCGTCTATGTCACGCCGCTGCTGATCGCAAAGCGGCCGAGCCCCGGGGCTCGTTGGCACCGGCTGCCCCGCAGCTGTACACGTGGCTCGCTGTTGCTGGGTGCTGGGTAGCGGTCACGTTGTTCGTGGCTGTGCCGTTTTTTTCGGGTTGCACCGCGCATTGTCCGACAGTTTCGCTCGAATTCCGGAAGAAGTTCGCGAAGCGCGGATCGAAGCGTCGAGACGCCGAACAACAACGCACAGCGGCGGTCGTGGGGGCGGCACTACCCCGATAACCACATCAGAGCGCTGCACAGCACGACCGCGAAAACCTACGCGGTCGGGACTCTCCTTCCTGTCTCCCATTGCTTGCCTGGCCCGACTTCCTACCCCGCCATCTACTCCCCACGTAGTTTTTTTTTGCAAAGCATCTTGGGACGCGGTTGCATTCAGCCGCTACGCAAACTGAAATTGTCCTTGCTGCAGCTGAGCCACCTAAAGGCCCCGCACCGCACGAGACAACTGGAGGCCTCCCGCTGCTACTGTCGCCGACCCTCGCTGCATCTGCTTCCAGTGTCACGTTTCCCTTCGGATGGGAACCAAGTCTGGTTTTGAAAATGGGGAAAGGGGGGGGAGGGTAAAAAAAAGAATCGGCATAAAGGGCACCATTTGCTGCTGGTAGCGTGTAATCGATTTTGCAGACGGTGGAACGCCTGCCACTTTGGCTCTCCCTCTAAGCCACCCGCCCTGCCCCGCACATGTGTGAGTGTGTGTGCGACGCTGGCTTCTAATCTCAGCGCCAAGCGATGCCCTGTGGCGGTGCCACATGGATTTAAGGTGGCAGAAAGCTCCCCCATGCTCACTCAAAGCCAGGAGAGAACATACACGAGGAGCTTGTAAGACGTGACGTTTTTACACCACCGCCACGTATGTTCCACCGTCAATGTGGGGAGGAGTGGCGGCATTGCGGTTGGCGCACACGGTCCTCTGAACCTGGCCATCCGAGTTCGATTCTCGAGCGTGGCCAACCTCATTTGCGATCACGACGTCGGTCTTCGCGGTTGCAACGCGTTTGCGGGTTGTTCCAAGGTACAATCCAACGCACGCATCGAGAGAGCTATCAGTAGCTTCACCTAGGTTGACTCGGCATTAAACGTGTACCTGGTGCGGTGTGTAAACATCAACACACTGGGGAGAGTCCAGACAGCACCCACTCGTGCGCTGTGCCGGCATGAATAGCTGCTCACTAACGGCACTTGCCTCTCAAGTCTGTCAAAGGCCACACGGGGGATCGCTGTCTGTGTGTTTTGGGGTCCTGATCGAACGCTCAGAGGCAAATATTTTCACCGCTGTTGTGATGGGGTTTTTTTTGCGGAATATACCACAGCCAGAAAAAAAGTTAATTTACCGTTCATTCCCAGCTGTGCCTCGAGAGGCTTGTAGCGCTTGCAGCAAAATAAACGTTTTAAACCATCCGTTCACGACCAAAAAAAAAGAATTGCGCTGTTAATTTCTGGCATTTTTGTGTCCCGCACAAACAAATGCCTTTTAAGTTCACAAACTCATTCTGCGTTGTTGCGGAGCATTATGGGTGAATACATTATACAAGCAGAACTCCGTTCTTTTTGTGTCCACATATAAATAAAATAAATATTTAGCTTATCAGCCTATTGGCCATACTAATAAGGAAGTGTCGATGCACGCCCATGGGTCTCTCTATGGATCTCTTGGGGTGTCTCTATAGATCTCTATGCGTGTCTATGGGTCTCTGTACAAGCCTACGAATATCCACGCGAGTCTACGTCTCAAACCACGGACTACAGGGTAACACCACAGCCCGCCGCTTCGGTCGCAAGCCAGGAAGAATTTCGGATATCCACAACGTGGTTCCTCCTGAAACCGTCCAGAGGCTCGCTCACGACCGACCCCGAGATGAACTTACAGAAGACGCTGCTGATCAGCTCCCCAAACCGCCACACTGAAGCCGAACTACTGCTCAGACATCACTGCCCACGAAACAGCGTCGAAGGAGGCACGGGGCGTGGGAGTGAGCTTCTTACGAAAACATGAGAACTATTTTGTTTTTATAACAAAAAAAATTCCCCTCCTCCTTTCTGGAGTCGATGACGGCGATTGCGCTTCCAAGCAACGCTTAGGGTTTCAGGAAATTGCAGCCTCGGTTGGAGGAGTAAGAAAGCTCTCTGAAATCGAACCGCCGGCTCACTCCTGCGCACGCGGGCCGGGAATCTCGAAGGCGAGAGGCGGATCGCGTCTGCTGCGCGGTTTGCGCGTACGCACGTATGTACATGTGCAGAACTTATTTCGCACCGTACACAGCCAACCGTGCTTATCGGAGTTTTCCCTACGCTGCTGTGGCTCGTAGGGGGTAACACGTCACGACTCAGGGCCGCGATTCAAGTGAAAGAATCGGTTCGGTTTTTTGCCTCTTTATTTCTTTATTTTGGGTTCGTTTGTATTGTTTTCCCTCCTCCCCCCCACCCCCAACGTCTCATTTGAACAATTTTGTTCGCACCATTAGCCTAAATGGTCTAATTATCATTTAATTTGCATATGATTTTCGGATATAAAAGTGTAATTATTAATAATTGACATTGCCTCAAAGAATGGATTGTGCCACAATAACCGGTGCAAGTTAAATCAGAGTGCCTCCCCCAACCGAGCAAGCAAGAAACGGCGTGGTGCATTTCTGCATTTCCACAGGTGGCTCAGAGCGGGTGGAAATTCCACATTCTCATGGTAAGCGCCAGTTTGTCCATTGTCAGAGGTGCATAGTTTCCGGCCTTAAACATAATAAAGTAAACAGAATAATAGAAATGATGCGTGCGGTTAAATAAAAGTCGTTTATTTTCAATGGGCCCTCACCTGGCTTTAATTAAATGTCATCTATTTATCCATCTTACTTTTACCAAGTAACCCGCAATGCGTCCAGCCTCATCACATCTCGGAAGCTAAGCACGGTGTGCGAGCCTGGACAGTGCTTAGGCGACCACCATGCACATCGGGTTGCTATAGGTCACCGAGAGGCTGCGCGGTAAGCAGTGAAGCAACGTCCGAAGTTTGCACTCTACTTCTATGGTTGCCGTATGATTGCTATGGCGTGGGGCGGCAACTACTGGATAACAGAGGCCCTCATCCAGCAGTAGATTGTACAAGATTTTCCTCGTAATGCCGAGAAAATTCAGAGGTACCGGCGCTCCGATATATATGAATCTTCTTAAGCCTTTCCCGTTCCGATGACGTACACGTATGTCATGAGTTTTTCTTCCGGTTCCGTTCTGATGACGTATACATAAAAGACTTCATCGGAACCGAGGCTCCCACAAGGCCATGCGGGAGGGTGTGCGGCACAGTTTGGCGCCGGCTATTGTAGAGTGCAGTCGTGCCGCTACAGTTCTTTGTGGTGAGTGCAATGTCTTTAAAAATAAACGGCGCTACGCCTCTCTAAATAAAAATTAAAGCTGAACCGTTTGCGGTAAACGGGGCAACCCACCCTGGAAACTTGCAGACGTCTCCGAACAGTAAATGGTTAAGAACACCCCGTTATTTCCATGAAGGCCCAGTTGAGGCCCAGACCCCGCTGATGCGCGTTGCGAGAGAGCCACGCTTGGGCAAGTACAGCATTTGTGGGATGCCGTTGGCATGAATGAAGCGATATGAAATTAAAGTATTATTATTGAGGGCACTCACTTGGTGACGATGCTGATTTTAACCCCGAAGACGCCGGTCTGTTTGCGAGAGGGCATCCTTTTCAGACTGTACTCCCGGCTCGTGAACTTCATTGACAGCTTCACCTCGATCTGTGGGAAACAAAACAACAATCACAATCATCATCATCATCATCGTTGGCCATGGTCATTCCACTGCTGGATGGAAGGCTTCCCCATGCGACCGCCACCTCTCGCGATCCTGAAAAAAATTCTAACGATCGTTGGGAATATTGACGGGTTTTTGCGTTTCGACGGGCCAGAGGGCAGAGGTCAAGAAGTGATAGTATAGAAGTTTAATGTACTATGAGACCTCCTTTAGGTGTCAAAGGTGTCAGTTTTTGTACCAGTTGAAAGGGTAAAAACCTATTACTATAGGTTTAATGTAGGCATGGGGGTCAGGTTAGACTAATTTAAGTTGGAGCCTATCCGTTTTTTTTTCCATTTTGGCAGCTTGTGTGTTTTTAAATCCTTTATATTAAGTTCACTTGCTTGCTTGCTTGCACGCCTACGACCGTGCAAATCTTTCGGTCGTTTTTTAACCCACTTCCCGTGATCCAATCGAGCTGACATTTTGCACACAGACTCGTTGTGCGTGACAATTTATTTTCGTGAAATTTTTTTTCCAAAATGTTCCACTTTTTAGGAAAATTTTTTTCATATTTAATTTAAAATACCAATGTGATAAAACTGAAACTCTTACTCAAGAAAAACAGAAATGAATAATAAAAGAAAACCGATGCCACGCATATAAAGGATTTATAGTGAAAAACTTTGTTTTTACGGGTCAATTTTTTAACGCTAACACGGTTGGGAAGTTCAACGAAGCACCTGGTGCCGTGGTCTACGAGTTTTGCTTTTGCGTCGATCCCCAATGTCACAGTTCATTCTGAGTTCTAGGTGAGTAGTTCCGGTCAAAAAGGGAGCTCGGAGGCCGCTGGGGGGGGGGTGGTGGGAGGTTGTTTTCTTTAATGCCAGTTGTGCTACCGCTGTCATGTAACGAGACTTCACATTCTATTCGTAAATCTTTACACAGCGGTGCAACCCAATGTTTTAGAGAACGGGCCCACGAAAATGTACCTCGCAAAACTACTTCACAGAACCATTCCAGCGGCATTTAAATCCACACATTGGTCAAATGTATCTCTTTTATTCTCAGAGCTGGAATTCAGCCAAATCGAGTGAAAATCCCGATATAATTCGATGGCTTTTTCACAGCCATTGCTCGCCAGGCTGAGTCCACCAGCCCAGGTTCCCAAGTATAACCTTTGAGAACCTGGATTAATCACGGGTGACTGAAACCTGGGTTTGAACCCAGGGTGTCAGCGACACCAGCACAGCACTCTGACCCCTGAGTGACCTGGCCACCTCAAGCAATCACGGGGGGGGGGCAGCTGAGAAAACCAGGCTCTTCGGGGTCAACCAGGTGCTAGCATGGGGCCTTTGCAACAACAAAAAATCGTGAGATATATTTAAGTCTGTCTTGAAAACTCTCCTCTTTAGACTGCCCATTTATCCTGCAGACTCTGTTTATTTCCTGCTTTCCATACATGGCACGCTGGCGATGGGAACGAGGCGATACTGACGACACTGCAGCCAGGTGGTTCATGCTCGATGTGTACCATGGTGTCGGGAGTTCAACGCGAGGCACACGTGTATTTATACGACGCGGGCGTATGTCGTGCCACCACAGTGTCGAGATGTTAACTCCCTCGCCTTGCATACAGGAGGTAGTGGGTTCGATCCCGACCCTAACGTCTGTATATTTGGAGTTTGCATGTTCTCCCTGTGTTCGCATGGATTTTTCTCCGGGTCCTCCGGTTTTTCTCTTGAAAATGAGGCTACATCCTGGTCTCTTGAGTTCTCACTTCGTTAAACAAAATTAACTCGAATACCATTGCTGACAAGCGGGCAACTGCACAACTCTGCGGTGGAACCTTTTTCAATCATCAAACGGAATGGTTTAATATAATAAAACATAAAAATGCGATGTTGTGTTCCATGATTATTCATGTTAGGGAAGAGCCTGAAAGCCTCTTCCTTTTTTGCACGGAATAGTCAGTATTTGTAATTTGTTTATGCGATCTATCCCAAAATAAACCCCCAGCATAACAGCGAACGGTCTAACCCATAACCTCAGATGGAGTGCTCTTGCCAATTACGCCTGGCAAGCCAGCAGCATACGTTTAACAAGCCTGACTGCTGACGGGTTCCGAAAAGGTCAAAACCATTTCAGAGTTTCCTTACTTAAAACAAACCTCGCCGATTCATAATATTGGGTCTGGGGAGCAAATAAATACGCCAATGGACTAAACATATTTGTTTTATTCATACGTGGGAGGCACAGGCCAGAATCCTGTTCTACGCATGCATTTACCCAATCGCTTGGACAAGAAAAGCTCTCCAATTCCCGCTTGTGAAATGAAAGCGGCGAGAAGTGGGCGACCTCGTCCGATGTTTACCGCTTTCAAAACGGCTTCCTTTGCGCGCCGAGTCAAAGGTGCAATGAATCCAATTTACATCAATCACTATCTGTTTGTCAGCCCTCTTTACGGTGAGCATGACGACTGGCAGCCAGGGGCGTAAACTCGCACATCAGCTCACTGCACCGTGAAAGAGGGGTTTATATTCGGAACGCGATGAAATTATGCGCCGGCTACGATAATTAACCTCAAAGCAACGAAGTAACTTCCAGCTTACGTCCGCAGAAAATCGCTCTCGCAAAAAAGCATGGCCTTGAATAATTGAGGTGACATTGTAAGTTTTCCGAATACAGTACAAGCTGCACACAAGTACACCGTTGGGAGCAAGACCCAGCATCCTTGCACGGAGAGTGCGCTTGCATCAAAAGTCGGCTTTTTCATTGCTCGCACCAGGGTAATGTGAGCATGATTTGCTCGCATCAGATCTGTGCTTATAAAGGAGGTGTGCTTACATCAATCTTCTTTCCGTGATAATTTACAGACCTTTGTCAATCCACTGCTGGATTACAGTAAATTTAGCTGTGACGGTCCCACCTGATGACGGAGACTTGTGTTGCCTCCGAAACGTCGTGATGTATAATTTTATTTCTACTATTATTTCTATTATTTTTATTTTTTATTTTTACCTACGTGACTTTACCGACAAAACCTAACAGTATGTATCCTTGCAGTCACAAAAGCTTCAAATCTAGAATTAGGCCTCGCCATATACCGTGTCGGTCACGGGGGTTGGTTTGATCATACTTCACCACGCCGGTCAGTGCGGTTAAGAAATCATCGATGCTTCTCGTGGGCCAGAAATCAAACTCAGGTGGCGGAGTTCAATAGCGCAGCGTGCTAACTGCTGCGCTACCACTCCACCCTGTAAATAGTAGAAGTATATTCTTGGTTCTTTCGGTAAAGTCACATAGAAGGGAAATAATAAAATAATTTTAATATAGAACAATAAAAATTCTCACGACGTTTCGACTGCAACACAAGCAATCATCATCAGGTGTGAAATCCACAGAAAGAAAATTTGAAAAAATAATATTACTTTATTATTTCCCTTCTCCGTGACTTTACCGAAAGAACCAAGAATATGAATCCCTGCAGTCACGAAAGCTTTAAATCAAGATTTTTAGTAGAAGTATGTTTGTACGTAGCCAACCATGCGAATCAGGTGACGGTATAGTACAGTAATGAGGCGAGCTGGAACACGTGTGACAGAACGTCCACCAAGGAGATGGAGTGAAGAAATCGGCTCATGATAATTGGTTCTTTACCCTTCTATCTGGCAACAAAACTGACACCTTTTTGCAAGGAGTCATGTTTGCATAGACCGCAATACCTGCAGTCATAAATACAAACAAAAGACATAACTCTGATAATGTGCACTGTCCTTGAAGTTGATTGGTCCACACCCGAGACAGCTTTCCTTCGAGCCTAGTCTCATATGGGTTGGACCAGATGACGCCAAAAGGCGCCTTTTGGCGTCATCTGGTCCAACCCATATGAGACTAGGCTCGAAGGAAAGCTGTCTCGGGTGTGGACCAATCAACTTCAAGGACAGTGCACATTATCAGAGTTATGTCTTTTGTTTGTATTTATGACTGCAGGTATTGCGGTCTATGCAAACATGACTCCTTGCAAAAAGGTGTCAGTTTTGTTGCCAGATAGAAGGGTAAAGAACCAATTATCATATTTTTACTGGCAAATGAGGTCCCCATAGTGTAAATCGGCTCATGTGCAGGTGCTGGTGATGGCATCGATAAGACTTAATCCAGCAGTAGATTGAACATGCCTGCTGATGATAATACGGGGAGCCACGCTCGGGCACCATGCTGATGAGTGAGATTTCCAAATGGATTCTTTGTTCTCGCAACTTGGCGTTGACAGCGCCCGGGAAACACCAATTTTAGTTTTTTGTAACTAACGATAACAGCAGTGCCTTTTACAACAGTGCAGTTGTTAACATGCCACATTGTCTTATCATATGACACGGCACTTTAAAAAAAACATTATCTTGAACAACACTGCGGCCATAAAAATGTGAGTATATATAATAGGCGTCATTTCGGGTCAATGGCCCTTCTTCGTTACACATATGGAGTGGTTAAGAGTTGAGAGACTGTTTATCGTATAACAGTGCAGTTGTTAGTATGGAACACGTGGAGAGCAAAGTACTGCTGCTTCGTAGAGCCACTGCACATGTTAAACCGCATTATTCATGGCAAGCTCTAAGAGTGCAGGCATGTGTTTCTCATTCACCTCCGACTTATTTCGGTATCTACAGAAAACATCGTTTCTATAAATGAACTTTCACTGCCGCCGAGAAAGTGAGCCTACATTCCCACGCGCAAAATAGTGCCGGGGTGCAACTCCTCTCCGCTCGCGGTCGAGTCGGCCGGTGTAAACTCCACATTCCTATGGCAGGGAGCTGTTCCTCAGGAGGACAACCACCGTAGTCTCTCCATGCAAGCAGTGGGATTTAATTTATTTACCCTGGAGGGATGATGGGCTGAGTTGACCGCCTCAGCTTGGATTTGAACCCATGGACCTTACAAATGAAGGCCGCATCGCCATCCGGCTAAAAAGTGTGCTACCTTTCTTGGTTTGTGACGTTATTTGCCCCCTTTTTTCCCAATGCTATTCGTGGTGTGCTTGGGCATCACGTCCTAAGACATAGAATCCATTTGAAAATCTCGGAGCAGTGCAACCCTGTGTAACCGAGAATGGCTGTGCAGGATATGTTCACAGAACCTCTTCAGCAAAGAACTATTCAAGTGGGCCTATTTCTTTCATCTCTATATAGATTGAGATTGGCGTACGTTGAGCGACACGCAAAGCAATGCTTAACTGTTCAAACCTGGAAATTGGTCACATTCAGTGAAACTACACAGCTTAATGTTGGCTTTTTTTGTGCAGCCTCTGGTGACCGTGTTTCCACCATCGAGTCGCTGCTACACACGAATGCCCGGTTTAAATCGCAGGTGACTAAAGCCCCGATTAAAACCCAGGACCTCAGCCATGCTGGCTCAGAACTCTGATCTCCGAGCTACCTGGCCAATTGCAAATAATGTTGCGGCAGTTGCTAATGAAATCACGGCCAGCAGAACCGACGTGCAAGCCTCCCATGTGTTTCCTCTGGCTCTGCGCCGGGGGTCGTAAAGACCGACTGACCTCGTTCATGGATATGACCGTCTCCTGCCAGTCCTTTTCTGGGACGCCCTTGGGATCCAGCTGTGGAGACACAAGATAACAACCGCAATCAGGAGCGGTCCCTCCGGGGCACCGTTTAAAAATAAATGTAAATTATGAGCTGCACATGCTGCTGCCATTGTTCGGATCAGCTGCCTTTAAAAGTCTTGCAGTCACGAAAGCTTCAAATAAAGATTGACATTGCACCATATCACAGCAGTTCATGGAGTTGCGCTTTCATTGAATAGATCTTTGTTGATTTAATTTCTTAAAAACGCCATTTTACCTAATTATGCTTCAATTTGCGATGCGTGTCGCTGTCAAGCCGCGAGATGAAGACGTTTCGATGCGGAACTTGGACGGAGCAGTGTAACATCAGTGCACGTTAGAGAACGGACTCGTGGATGGTGATATCAGAGAACTACTTTTGAGGTCTATTAAATTGCCTCTCATCCAACATTCAATATCTCATATGCCCTGACGTTCATTACGTGGCAGACTAGAAAACAATGTGCAATTATATTTTTTTAATATTCGGACCAGGAAATATACCGAATAAAATAAAATATAAAACATTTAAATGTTTTTTTTTGGTGCAACCTTTGTTGACCGGGCTGATCAAATTGACTCGCTGTAACCCTTGGCATGAATTTCCATCACCGCTGGCTGAAACCCACATTCATAATTAAAGAATTCGGCATTACCAGCTCAGTCATCCGACACAAAACCTTAACTCACTGAGCCATTAAGGTGGTAAAATTGCAGCCCTGCGATTGCTCGCTTACGCCCCCGCTGGCAAGAGGGCCTCGTTCTAGAGAGCCTCCTCTCGTCTTCGAAGAGGCGTGAGCACCCACACTTTACCCCATCACACGCGACCCATCCATCGACTGTGGCGCAGTATATCCGTGTATACTGCTGGGTGGACAGAGGCGGTGATGGGGAGGGAGGGGCGATTTGAGAAACTTGCACCGTTGTTTCAATCGCCGCGGCCGGGCGATCGAGTCGAACCGCCGCCGATGTCTGGCTTGCAGGTGCAGTGCGCGAACAACCATACCATCGTGCGGCTTCCCCACACATTTTTTAAATTGAGCATTCATTATTTAAAAGCGGTAAATATGTCGCATGCGTAAAGGTGGATACTGCAACTGCAAATTGACTGCCACCCAGGCACGGCAGAACATGATTATTTTATTAAAAGGGAACGGATCACGGGTGCAGCTGAATCCAAAGTAAATATTGAAAAGCTGCGAACACAACAGATGGTCACAGTCCCAGCAGGGCTTGCCAAACGCAATTCCCACTTCCAGGGGCCAATAGAAATCCGCGGAAGCCCACCCAAAGTGATTTTCCCGCATTTTTGTTTTTACACATCGGAATGGCAATGAGAATATTAATAATTCGGTTGACATTTAAATTTGGATATGATGAATCAATTTCGTGCTTTAATTTTCATACCACACACACTGTTGTTTTAATATTAGGTAAGGCCCACTGACCTATTTGTTCTTTTTCAGAGGAGACCTGGCCAAACATGACAGATTATAGATTTGGCTTACATCATAATCAGATTCGGGAATTATAGTAGCTGCCAAATAATCCAAATGCATGTTTAGAAATGTAGAGATGGACAAAACCGGAGGAATGGGGAAAAAAATCCACGTGACCACCATGAAGAGAGAACACGCAAACTTCAAATGTACAACAGGCATTGTCAAGGATCCAGGATAGAACTCACAACCTCCAAGCGTACTAGGCGAGGGAGATAACATCTTGCCACCAACATACGCGTGTATCTTCTTGGTTCTTTCGGTAAAGTCACGTAGAAGGTAAATAATAAAATAATCAAAAATAAACATAATAAAATATTATGTAGAAGGGAAATAATAAAATAATTAAAATAAAACATAACAATAAAACATAATATTTTATTATGTGTTATATTTATTATTTCCCTTCTACGTGACTTTACCGAAAAAACCAAGAAAAAAACAGATTCGTCAGCTTATTCATATCAATTAGTATTTTTGGGTCTTTCGCTAAAGTCACGTAGATAGGTTCAAAGAAAATAACAAAAAACTACGACGTTTCGATCGCAACACAAGCGGTCGTCTTCAGGAAAAAGGCCTTTTTTTTGTTATTTTCTTTGAACCTATCTACGTGACTTTACCGATAGACCCAAGAACATGAATCCCTGCAGTCACGAAAGCTTTAAATCGAAATTTAGACGCGTGTATGTTTGCCGAATTTCTTCCTCCCCGTACGTAGCCAACCGCGCCAATCGGAGGTGCGGTGGAAGGACAACAAGCTAACACACACGCGAAAAGCAATCCGAAAGAAATGAGCTCTGAATCTAGAAAAAAAAAATGAGTTTTCAGTAGAGAACTAAAATGAGTTTTCCATCTAGATGTGAATAAAGCCCCCACTCTCACGAGAGCGAACCACGCGTTTCTGTGAGAGCCACACGCAGCACAGTAGCGAGCACGCGCGCGCGCCTGCGTGCAGACAAAGAGGTGCAGCTGTTGAGGGACAGGGGTGGGCAAAACATAACAGGCGATGGCAGTTTCCCAAATGGCCCACATCCGGTTACGTTAAAGATTCGCCGCGACAAAAAAACACATTCACGCTGCCGTGTGAGAGACGCGCGTAAACCGGGCGGTGTCACGACCCCTAGGCAATTCATCGTCACGCGTGCAACGAATACGGTGACCCCCCCCCCTGTGTAATTCTTTTTTTTTATCTCTCAGAATTCTTTTAATTGCTTTACAGGGTTGTGATTTTTTTTTAGCTTTGTTTCACAATCATGAAAGATATGTATGCAGGTCAACGGTAGTCCGCGTCTGTGGGGTCTCTATGTCATCATTGCATGCCACTTACAGCCCCGTGCTCTCGATGTAATTCTGTCTCTTTTTAAAGTGCATGGGGGTCTTTGTTTGAGTCTCTAGGTCCATGTTAAGTCTATCGCAGGGGGGTGGGAGGTTCTTTGAAAGACTATGGATTTCTAGTCTGCAAATATATGGATATCTAAAATCTATGGTAATGTATGGTCTATAGTTCTATGTATGAATCTATAGGTCGCAGTGTGCGTCTACGAGTCTCTGTATGAATCTATGGATCTCAGTTGCACTTATATGGGTCTCAGTGCGAGGCTATGGGTCACAATCACGAGTATTTAATGACGATCCTAGATTTATGAAATTATATCGAGATTATTTTGCATAATCCTGGAAGCAGTCTAGCTGCCCCCTGGATGGTGGCTTTAATAATCTAAAAAAGGGTCTCCAAATAAGTCTGCAATCCAACCGAGCGTTCTGCCCATACATTATTCAGCAATAAAAAAGTAGGTCAAATATAAAATGCGCTCCCACTCAAACAGAAAGGAGGGAGAAAAAGATTCACGGAAATATTAATAAATAACAAGGCTCTTACTTCCTTGATTTATTATTCCAGAGATATGTTTTTTCTGCACGTTTAATTACCTTTATTTTTTCATTCCGTAAAAAGTGCAGTGATCTCAAGAGGTTATCTCTCATCTGTTTTAGCATAAGAGGGGGTTTGGGGGCGGGGGATTGATTTACCAATGTGGAAATGTGAACAATCAGTGTAACACGACATATTTGGGAAAGAAGAAATGCAATAATGTATTATTACCGGGTCATATAACATCAAAAGAATTCCCCCCAGCGCCCGGCCCACTTCCCAAAAGTACAACATCGCACCGCACTTAACCTCGCACGCAACCATGCCATCACTACCGTTTCAGAAACGTTTACAGTCGTCGATTTCATTTTTTTGTGGACCAAGTCCATCGCGGTTTGCGCCATCGCGAGACCAAAGAATCCGTTCGGATTTTTCGCGGAGCAGTGCAACCCTTCGTGGTGTAAAGAGGACATCCCACGGAAGCAGATATCACAGAACTACCTCTGAGAGCCTTTCAAGCGACGTCTGGTCCACAGAGTAAAGTACTTTAGCACCTGCTGTGCCACATGAGAGAGTCATGTTTGTCTCATGACAGTCAACCCGATATTTCATTCTCAGAGCTGGAATTTAGCCCAAAAGTGCAAAACTACATTTCATGAGATGGGGGTTTTTTTGGTGCAGTCATTGGTGACCGAGGTGAGATAAAAAAAAACTGCACACGAGAAGCCAGTTTAATTGTAGGGAGGTGAAAACCCTGGATTCGAACCCAGGATCTCAGCTCTTGCCAGATCAGCGCTCTGACCTCTTAAGCCAACTGGCCACCTTTTGTAAAACTTTGATTTTAATCGGGTTTGATTTGAGGATTGTGTGTTACCATGTTGTGGTTTTTTTCCCATTGACTTGAGGCGTGGCTGTCATGGCTGCGGTTCAGGAACTTCATTAGGCAAATCTGCAAAAACCCGCACATGTCCGATTTTATCGTGATAGTGCCCCAAGGACACATTACCAGGGACCGCTCGTAATTGCCAATCAGTGTCACATCGCAAATAAAGGCCTCAATTTCCTACATAACGACCAGCAGTATATCTTCCGCCCTAATGCCTTTTTAACGAACGTATAATCGTCCGCAATGTTACAAAACAATTGAGTAACAAACAATTAGACGGTAGCAACTCGCAGAACGATGGGGTGCCTCCATCAGTTTTGACGTGGCCGCTGCCCTTGTGTAATAGTGAGCACACTGGACTTGCAAGCAAGAAAGTTGCCGGTTCGATTTTGATCTCCCGGCGTGGCAGTTAAAACAATGGCACAAGTTTCTTAAATACCCCCCCCCCCCCACGCACCCACCCCCACCCACCATCGCCTCCGTCCACCCAGAAAAATATATTTTTTTATGTGCTCAGCACAGTTAGTCGATGGGCAGGTCACGTGTGTGGGTACTGCCACCCTCTTCCAAGGCCCTTCCAAGGCGTCTGGAAACTGGAGGCCAAAAATAAGTGCCTCTAACAGAGGCCCTTGAGCCACAGAGGTGGCAGAAGAAACTTCCCAAGCTGCAAGGGGAGCAATCCCAATGCAAAGCCTTATAAATAGGGCCTCAGCATCAACAAAATATATTCTTTGGGTCT